GTGGCCAGACCTGGCCGCGAGGAGCGGCCACGGTAAGGCGCCGAAAGGCCGGGATGACCCATCGGCGCAGCGGCGCCTTATTGAAGAACCAGTATAAAGGAAAGCCTTCCCAGGCCTTCCGAATACTGGGCTCTTCAGCAAGCAATAGCTATCACAATCTACCAGTACCTTTCGGCTACTACTCCGTTACTCTATTGTTCTATCCCAGCAATAATACTCCTGTGCTTGTAACGGTTCCTCACACAATCATCATCATCGTCATCCAAATCCGCCCAACTCCTCGGCTCATCCAACCAAAAAGTCGCTCCTCCCGGCACCGTAACCTTCAACTTTGGTACGCCCTCGGGCTTTTTCTCCAGCGGCTCCCACTTCGACAACACCCAATTATCCTTCTGCAGCCTGCGCTGTCCCCTGGCCACCTGCTCCCTTTGCTCCTCCTCTGCCACCCTCTTCCAAGTATCCATGTACCCATCCTCATCAACAGAGCTCTGGCTGAGCCACTCCCAATTCATGCACAGACGACCCCAAGGCATCGGGTCGTCGAGCCACCAAGTTTCGCCTTCGGGGGTGGTGAGGGTCAGCTCCGGGACGGGCAGAGATGGGCACTGACCCGAGGAGTCGACGGGGCCCGGGTAGTGCTTGATGTGCTGCCTCGGCTTGTCGACTTCGGTGACGCCAATCCAGTGGCAGCGATGAAGGTGCTGCTTGGTGGGGTCAAATTGGGCGTCGTCGACACGCTTGTAGGTGTCGAGGTGGCCCGTTTCGTCGATGAAGGCGTGGTCTCCCCAGTTGAAGACGTAGGGCTCAAGATTGTTCTCCTCGCCTGGGTAGACGGTCTCGGTGTCGCTGGTGGGACCTTCTACCTCCTCTGCCTCTTGGGGCTGTGTGGGAGGGAGAGATGTATTGGCAGTGACGTCGTCCTCTTGGTGAGACGACACGACGACGGTGCTTTGGGTGCTGGCTGACTCCGATGCTGTGTTCTCGGTGGCTTGGCTGTTTGCAGCTGGGGTGAGCTCTGGAATTTGGGTTAGGCTGACTGCGTTGGCCATGTCGTCGGTATTGGCGGGAGTGCTGGTCGGCTGCGAAGTTACGATGACAGGGTGAGCGAGCTCGGCCGGATTCTCCAAGTTCTGGGACTCGACAGTAGGCCCATCCTCATGAGTCTGGGCCTCTTTAGTTGACTCTTCTTCTTGCTCGTTTACCTCCTCAGTCTTGATCGGTTCCTCCATCTCGTCCTTATCTTGTCTCTTCTCGCTTCCCATCTGAGCTTCTCCGTCGACCTCCAAACCCTTGTTGTCGGATCCAAAAGGCGCCTGCACCACGCCGTCGACAAGCTCAGCTGGGCAACCCTCATCCTACTGAGGAATCTGCTCCAGTGAACTGTCGAGGCGGTCCGCCTCTTCATGGTCGGGACGGAAAGCAATGGCCCTGGCTCTGTTGACAGCTTCGTCTTCGTTTTCGGAAAACCTCTCAGGGTCCGAAGTGTTGGCGTTGCTGGAGCCACCACCGTAGCTAGGGGAATAGTTCGGAAGGGCGATTTCGGAAAACTCCGAGGAGCAGGGTGGGGAGGGAGGGGTCGGAAGCAAAACGTTGGGCGGACAGTCGATTCGTCATTGACGGGAATACTAGCCGGACGGGCACCCTCGAAGGCGTAGTTGAAGTCGTATTGAGACAGTATAAACTCATGCTCCGACCGCGTCGCTTCAGGAAAGCCAGGAACATTCACTATGAGGGACGAAGAGATGGAGGCTGTGTCGCTTGAGTCATCTGAGTCTGCCTTGTTGTCGTTGCCGTTGTCGTTTCCCTTGCCGTTGGTAAGACCATTACTGGCGGTCAAGCTGGTGAGGGAGCCGAGTGACTCGCCAAGGTTCAGAGAAGAGATAGGGCTACCGAGGTCGAGGGAAGGAATCGTCTCCTCTGAACGTGGACAGGTGCTGATATTCGTGTCCTGGGTCGTCGATGTGGTATTGAGTCGAGGAGCGGTTATGCCCCCTGGAGGAGAAGACGGGTCGACGATCGAAGGAGGAGGGGAAGGGTACGCGGAGGAGGGCGTGTTTTTGACGGAGTGGTTGCCCTTGGCGATGGCAGACGTACGGGCGTTGTCGGTTGAGAGCCAGGCCTTCAACTTGGCTTCGTCGGGTCTGATCCACCAGCGGTCTGCGGGATTGGTGTTCTTGGTTCCGATGTAGGTCCTGACGGTGCTATAAAAGGTTAGTATTGGCCGGCAAAGGATTGCTGAGTGCGAAGTGATAAGAGTCTAGGTGTCAACATACCGCAACAAGAAAGAGGGCACAAAGTGCTTGATTACGCCAGCAACCTCTTTGACCATCTGGCTAACGACAGCAATGGGCTCGTCACCCGCGCTGTTCAGCTTCATCAAGAGGTTGACCGACTTGTTGAAGACACGAGAAGTAACCACAAAGGGCGCCTTGACAACAGCCTTGATCTGCTGCTGACAATAGTCGACAACGCGAGAAATAACGACAAGAGGCGGTTTAGCCAGGTCAACCGACTTCTCAACAACGCGAGAAACAATCCCAACAGGCGCCTTTACGACAGCCTCAACGAGCTTCCGAACCCCGTCGACAATCTCAACCACCTTGGCGATGCCGACAGCAAGGGGGTTGTCGCAATAATCTCTGTCGAAGTTGAAGTCGAAGTCGGCTTCAATAGGCTTGAAGCAACCCACGGCATGCTGGATGGCCGGGCTGACGATGGGGACGATGATGGGGTAGATGAGGGGGGTAGCGATGCGGACGACCGTTTTGGTTAGGTAGAACATTTTGACTGCCCGATGTCTGTTGACTGCTGTCCTTGGGTTTGGCTGCAATTGATTGATGTATGAAGACGATGACAAATTTTGTTGATGCTGAAGTGATCTGATGATTGCAGATTGTTGTTTTTGGTTGAGTTTGTTGATTGTGTGGTTGCAAGTTGTAAGTTGCAGGATGGAATGGTTTGTCAAATGTTGCGTTGATGTTTCGCTTTCACAAGTTGGGTTTTGGTTTTGGTTTTGGTTTTGGTTGCAAGTGTAAATTGCAAGCCGGAAGCTAAGTTATGCTTGGAAGCAGGAATAAGTTTCATCGCCCAGCAAGGCCCGACAATGACGAAATATTAAAGACGCTGAGCACAGGTCGGAGATCCGGAAGAGAGGGGGTGGATGGTGAATGTCCAAAGTCCAAGGTAGCAGACCGGCAGGCTCGCAGCACATGCACATGAGGGAAAGTTGCGTAATAGCAGACCTGGGGCGCCGCGGACTGCAGGACTACCAGTACCAGAATGGATGGCGGAGGTGAAGGGTGAAGGTCAAGCTGGAGGTGAAAGTTAGGCTATCAGCTGGCGGCACACCCGCCTTCCGGCAGACTGTCGACGGGCCGAGAACTTTGGTTGTTGTACCTATGCAGGTCAGCATACAGCCATTGCTGTTGAACTGTAAGACTACAAGGCTACGATGCGTTGGGCATATGGGATGAAAGGCGAGGGACAAGAATGACTGAAGGGAGTCTTCGTTCAGCATTGCCCCACCCCAAACACTTCCATTCTTCAACTTCGGGTACCTAGTTATCTGGACCTTTCTGTGGCGCTTCAATCTTCATCCTAGCAAGTCATCTTGTCAGTGAGTCCAAGATGCAGCCCAGTTTGGTTTCTCGACGCCAGGTAGTTTGTTTATTCCAGGGAGCCAGGGTATGCCGAAAAGGGGGGAGTGTGGTTCGCGCACGGACCAGGAGACTGCGAACCAGAGCCAGCGCAAAAGTTCAGCACCCAAAAAGACGAGCTGGACCTTTGATAATCACTCGATTGTATTTGCGCACTTACCGCATCTACCTGCTAATTAACAATGTCTTTACAAGCTTCAATGATTACTATCGCTTCTTCTCCATTCTTGGGCAATCAAAGTGACGAACGAACCCGTTCATCTGCACCAAGAACGGACGTGCAGTGATTTGCGTACACAAATAATTTGAAAGCATGCTAATAATACATAGTTCTTGGCCCATCTTTCAACAAATAACAAGCCCGATTAGCTCAGCTGGTTAGAGCGTCGTACTAATATCAGAATTTCCTGATATCAAGTCTATGCGAAGGTCAACAGTTCAATCCTGTTATTGGGCATTTCTTTTTTCTTTTTGCACTCTTCGTTTTTAATTCAGGTATTATTTCCTCTCGTTCGGTTCCGATTTCTGCTTCATTTTTCTTTTCATCTTGCATGGACTAAGTCTCCCGTCTGTGTGCGCCGAGCGAGGTGCAGCAGTTGTGCAAGCTGGAGAATGGTGTGCAGCTCGTAGCGAACATCTCAGCAACTTCACGTTTTGAGCAAACAACTAGATGACATTGTCCGAAAGATGCCCAAAGGAAAACATCAATCGCAATGGGTATACTTCTTCATTTGGGTAACTGTATTCTGTCTATCAACTGTAAGAAACCAATCATCACTCCCGCTTTGAATCCGTCTAATGAATGCCCTTGGACACGCTGCAGCTATAGTAAGGCAATGAATGGTACATATGAAACTGTGTACAAAGAGCGTAGAAAAGAGAAGAAGCAAAGGGAACTAAGCAACGCAGTGCTTGCGGTATCATCTCCATCGCTCAATCATTACTCAATCAGCATCCAAATACTGTTCCACCCCCGAAGGAATCGTAAACCGGACCCTAGCCGGACTTTGTGACCGTGAACGTCGCCGTGAATGCGACCGTGACGAACTCCCCCCTCCCACGCCAGAAGAACTTGAAGATGATGCAGATGATGAAGTCAAGTATGGTGGCTCTTCCCCAAGATTATCCGACTGCCCCGAGCTGCTCGTCAAGGAAGAGGCCGAGTCATATCTTGGTGGTTGGTACCTCCTCGTCAATGTCGGTACCGCTGGCGCCGAGATAGAGGAGGCCTGAACTCCAGATACCGAGTCATGAACGACGCTCACGCTACCGGGTTGTGATCTTCTAGTCCGTCTTCGGGTTTGACTTGTCTGTCGGTGTTCATGTGCATCTTGTGATTCCCGCTCGTGGCTTCTTCGACTTCTTCTTTCGTGAGATGTCCGTCCAGCGACGTAGACTACCGGTGGTGGATTGCGAGAATCGTCTTGATGGCTTCTTCTCCTGGACGCCGCTTTGTCGTCGGGCTCGTGGTTATGCCTCGACCTCTCGTGTGGATGGAAGTCATGATCATCCCATTTGTCGGTAGTAGGGCTGGAGACATCAACCACTGCTTGTCGGCCCGGATGTAGTCGAGGCGCAGAAGTATCACGGCGATGGCGTGTTTGTCCAGTCCCTTGTGACACTGGGTGGGAGTCTCGTCGAGAGTTCGGCGGAGGGTCATCAGACTGGATGACCTTGACCACCTTGGCTGCTTTGTGTACCTTTTCCGCTTCTTGAACTGGTACTGCTCGCTCCTTGCGGTCGCCGCTTCTCACTCGGACCGGTGTTGGTCTCTGAGGATAGCGCATGGCTGACGAGTGTCTGACGGGCATGGTGTTGATGGCGGCTTTGGCTGATGATGGCCAAGTTGATGCTGAAGACTTCGGCGTAGAAGCGCGACGGCAGAAATGCCAAATGATGAAGGAAAAGATGATTGTGCCGAAGAAGACGCCAAAGACGATGCCGAGTGCGACGGCAGAACTGTGTGAAGATGATGATGTTGCTGCAAACGCGGGGGCCGAGAAACTGGTTGGAGTTTCTAGTCTCCCGAGTAGCTTCGTCGGGAGGAAGGGCGTCGTCGCTTTTAATGTGATAGCCGTCTCGGCGAGAGAAGAAAGCGTGTAACTTGTCTCAGAGGGCTGGGTTTGACGTTGGCTTAAAGCTGGAAGAGTGTCAGAAACTTGCTGAGGTACCACTGCTTCACGGCTTTGTTTTCTCGGTGCTGCCACTCCCATTTTGTAGTACGAATATCCACAGGTAGCTCTTGGAGATCGTGATCTTTGTTTCCAAGGTTGCTCTGATGTTGCTGAACACAACGGAAGACAACTCGGAAAGAGCGGTAAAGAGCTCGGAAAGCAAAGCCTTCTCTTTTGAAGCCCAGCTTGTGTTGTCTTCCGGTGATGCCCCTCCTCGGTGAAGCCATTGGGTTTCCATCGTCCACTCGGAGACCTGCTGACTCCCCGCCCGGAGTATGCGCACCACACCCGTCTCCCAGGACTTCCGCGCCTCTGAGTCGCGGAAATAGACGCAACTGAGCCATATTTTTCACTGCTGGACCTCCAACTGGCTACTCCCCCTGACCGCTCAGTCTTATCGCCTCGATCATAGATATCCTGGTCCCTCTTCCGAAACCTTCAAATCACGCCACAATCGGATCGGAATCTTGCGCGGATCATGGTAGTTCTAATTGCGTGGGCATGATGCGAGGCATGACGCTTGCAATTAGCGCGCTTGCCCACTCAGGGCAACAAGATTGACAAATAAGGCTGCCAACGCATGCTTTAGGTGCGTGGGGACCGGCCTGCTGCTGTTTTCTTGGACCGTCTCCGACGGAACGGGTCGAAACATATCCGGATGCTCCTAGGATTCGTGAGAAGATCGACCATTTGGGAGTAAGAGGCAAGAAGCCACCGTGGCACGAGGTGACCCAAAAGCAGGAGCGGTATCAAATGACAGTGCTGGATTATCCTTCGTTGACTGTGAGAAATCTGTGACCGGCCGAATGAAAAACCAAGGCGACATCGTAAGATACGAAGGAGTGGACGTGAGTCGCGCGGCGATTGCCATGGCCGACAGAGAGCTGTGGGTAGCTACCAAGTCAACTTTGACCGCCGTGTCCCGAAGAAACACTGCGTCTGCGGATGTTGCTGCTTGTTTTATCCACGAACGCAAATCACTGAAAGAGGATCAAGGAAAATCCGGAATTTTAGGGGTGGAAACTCACAGGATTGGGACGGCTTGCTATTTATCTCGTCAGGCACAACATAGCGGTGGGACGCACTAGGCAGCGAGGCGTCAATAGGATCATGCCAGATATGAGGTGGCGTCTGCACGTCTGCACGTCTGCTTTCCACAAATTCTCTGTGTTACGTGAGATCCGAACGTCTGCATGTAGAGTAACGAACTGGCAGAAGCATTGGATGATGCACTTTCACCGCCAGGGATGCTGGGGGGCGGACATGGACATGCAGCATATTTGAAGTTGAGCTTGTGCCTGGAGCTACAAGACATCTTTGGTCAAGTTTGGAATGTAGGAAGATCATATCGAACAACAAACATATAAGCGGTGAGGGAATTCAGTGAAATGATTGAGCTACTCATGAAAAGTTTGGTAGAAGAGAAGAACTTGGTTGTGAGGTCTGGTCTACAGTACAAAGAAAGGGAGAATGTCGGCCGGGGTCGCAACTTCCAGAGTGGCCTGGACAATTCAGTCGCACTGAGATGGCGCAATGGTGCAACCCGTCTAGAGGTAGGTACCTCTACACTTTATTGCCAGAAAAGAGTGAACCGTACCTCCAAGTAGAACTACCACTTCCGCTCCTTCCCGATTTCCAACTTCCGACCGTCCACACCCTCAAAAGATCCAAAGCATCTTCAAATTCCTGCCGTCCACTCCAGCATCATACCGATATCTCTCCAGTAACCAATTCCATCGCTCAAGGGCCCTGAACAGTGATGGAAGAAGATCCACTGCTCTGGTATCCCTCAGTAGCCACAATCTGGTAGTTGTGGGTGCCCAACTGCAGACCAGCCTTGGCCCAGGCGTTGAAATGGTTGCTCATGGTGACGGAACCACCGCTGCGCTTCTGCTGGCGGACCGACCAGTACTGGTTGAAGGTTTGAGTGCCATCGATGGACGGCTGGTTGTAGCGGGTAGACTTGTAGATGTCGTAGGTGGAGCCGTCGGTAGTGACGGATCCGAGGCGGGTGGCGCCCGACGAGGGGTTGTATGTGCCAAAGTTCTCGATGACATAGTACTCGACAAGCGGGTTGCGGGTCCAGCCGTAGACGGCGAGGTAGCCGTTGCCGGAGGGGTTGAAGGAGCCCGAGTAGGTGATGGTGCGAGCGGAACCGGGGTTCCAGCCCTTGCCGCCGACGAAGTTGCCGACGTTGGACCAGTTCACCGTGTAGGAACCGCCGTTGCCGTTGGCGTAGTTGACGGTGCCGCCACCGTCAGTCCAGAAGGAGTAGTAGAAGCCGTTGTGGGTGCCGGTGCTGCTGGGAGTGCCGGCGCGCACGTTAAGCTCGGAGAACTCGGTGGCGTTGAAGGGGACGGCGAGGGCACCGGCGGCGCCGAGAAGGAGGGACTTGATGGAGACCATTGTGTCTGATCTGTCTGATACTCGAGAGGAAGAGGATGGCTGATCGGTGGTGATGATGAGAGGATAAACAAAAGCCGAAACAGGACGATCGTGAAGGTCTTATATATCCGTCCCTCGAGCTCCTTGTCGTCGCTTTCGATCGGTATGACCACTCAGTTTAGGCAGTCCAACCGTATCTCCGGGCTAGATTGTCGCCGTCCCTCTCATCCCCTGAGGTTGTCATCATGGCGACCCCGTCGATCATGATTCCTTTTGATGCCAAGGACCAGACACTTTGCGGTTGTTATGCAACATATTGAGCGTAGTCCATGGAGGTGGTCCCAGATAGGGTTGTATCCTTCACGAAAAGCCCATGCTTAGTCCGATCGCCCAGTCCAAGTTTGGGATACATAACGCCACTCTACGTACCCCAGCTTTTCGTGGCAGAAGGATAAATGAAGGAGGCTCCGAATAAATTCAGGCTGAATGAAGTGTTCGATGGGGCCCCGCCAAATGCGGCTCGGTCACGGAAGTCGACGGTTCTATCGAGCTTCCATTTTCGTAAGTCCGTGTTTGAGAACCCCTGCAGTGGTTGTCACGAACGGAGGCTGGCCTTGCTGAAACAAGAGATATTTCACCATTCAAGCCTATCGGATCTTGTCGTAGGAGCAGGGTTTGGTTCACTATTGGCACGCCTAAGCGTTTAGTCCCTGCTACTTTCGGAGGACGTTCACTCAACCACTCTCGCCGACGCACTTGGCTTTTGCTAGTTTTTGGTCTTCACTAACTTGGTTTTGTTGTTCGATGCTTGGCCGGACGGCTACTACATGTCCATCTACCGAGAGGGAGCCAAGCATCTTAGCTGCACAACCTCATCTTGAACTGTGGTTCACTTGCTGTACCCCGGATTGAACTGCCGATACCCCCTTGTCAAGACGCCGATCGAAGGGAACCGTGATCCGGGGACTGATGTACCATTGTATCTTGGTCAGAGATACCGTCGAGGTTTTGGGTTAGAAAGCTCATGCTGTCAGGCTCGGGATGAAGAGGCTCAGAATCATGATAAATGAATGTCAATGTGCAAAATCCGTGTACCTGGGAGCAAAATCCTGACACTATACCAGAGACGACCTGGAGATGAAGATCGGTTCCCGACGGTTTGCGACGATCTAGTCCTTGATGTTGGGTAAACATGGGAATATCGGCTGATAGGTTCTCGAGGGAAAGCTTGCCATCTGGGGTATTTAGCCGACAATGGTGTTGCTACCTCTTGGTGCTACCCGCACGAGTTAAGATCTTGACAAGCGGGCAGGGGTAAGCAGGGGTAACACGACGACGACGCTTGCTGTCGGTATCAGAGTCACAAGACCTAGCTGGGGTGAGTTATCACGTCGTCTCCGAGACCATGGTAACAGCCATGTGGTTGAAGAGAGGTATTCTCCTGGCGCAGCCATCGCGGAAGATGACGAGCTCCACGACTCACCGCAAAACCAACGGAACCCATCATCTTCACTCGGAAAGAACCTTTCGCTGTGTTCTGGCTGCGAGAGAGGTCAACAGATAACTAAAAAGAGAGGCATCGGCTATCACGTTATCCGTGGAGTTTCGGCGTTTGTCTTCCACATTGTCGTCCAAATAATGCGTGGATCGCGACCCAACGCACCTAATGAGCATGTCGTTCCCGTCGCCGTCACAGAGTTGCAATGTGCTCACAGCGCACGGGCTTCAGTATCATGCGCACCAGTCGGGGATTCGCGTCTCTCGTCCTTGGAAATCTCGGTTGGCAGCAAAGTTCGGAGACTAGCATTATGCAAGAATTTGGCAGAATGACGGTGGCGTTTGGTACGTATGGCTATGGACTCCCGTCGATGTGGGAGAACTGACGGGAACAAGAGTTTTCACCAAGTTTCCATTGACGGGATGCAAGCCACAGAAGAAAAACACCCGGCCAGGGCAGTGAGGTGGCCTGGAATCCACTGCTAACCGCTGGCTCTTGCTCACTAAAAGTCCACCCAGGACATTACCCCGATGCCCTGTTGCTTGGGACAATTTTCTCACGGTCAACCTCAAGAGGTCCAAGGATTTGTACCTACCTTAGGTATAAACTGATCGCTCAGTATGTGAGTTGTGAAGAGACCATCAGTCCACGGGTAAAAGGGTTTATGATGCGTCGGGAAAAGGATCTGTCGCTCTTTCCTGCCTCCGAATGCATGAATACGCGGACAACGGGAAAAGGTTGATGAGTTTTGGAAGAAGCAATCGATGGAATAGGAAACGATGGGAAAATACCCTAGGCATGTCGGGGCCTTTTTCGATTGTTCCTACTCCTCCACAAACACGGGCGCTCCAGTCCTGTTCATCAGTCGGACAACTCGTCAAGAAATCCAGACTCACCAACGGCCATGCTTCTCCAGAAATTTACCGAATAATCCTGATGAGCCGCGGAAGCCCTTTGTGTAGCTCTTTGCCCACGGTTGCTTTGTCTCTCATCCCTTTCTTTGCGAGTGTCCAACAGCCGCACCACCTCACTTCCGCTTTATCACCGCACACTCCCACGATGCAATCAAGAACAGGGACAATGTGTTGACCCGTTGCACACCATTTCATAAGCAGGGCTGCTGCAAGTACCTCACCTTATCCCCCCAGATTTAATATCCACTCATCCGTCTCAGGGACTCGAGTCTCACTGGGCTTGACAATGATTGAGCTATTCCGGAATCTTGCCTTGTTCCTCTTTCTTTCTTGTGTGAGCATTAACCGGATCAACGGTTTCCGAACCCCTACCAACTACCCCTAACGTCCCAACCTCCCCCAGTACCCCCTCACGCCATCTATCAATAGCCTCGTTGTCGACTGGGCGTTCGGGGGAATCTCACGGCGCACCGCCAGAGGAACGGAAGGGTACAAGACTATCCTCAAACCCTTGCTCCCGACCTGGTCACAGGACCACCAGAAGATCGCTTTCGTGGCCACCTCTGTAACCTTCTTCTTGGTTGCTGCAGAGCGGATCAACCCAGATCCTCAACTCCTTCTCTTCATTCCCAAAACGCCGCAGCGCTCGGTGCAGCTCCCCGCCGCTTGTCATCAAGACGCCGTTGCAAACAATGGGGCCGTCCGGCAAACCGCAAAGCTCCACCACTGCCTATGTAGCGCTCATGCATTCCATTGTCCTCGTCCACAAGTCCGCGAAAGGATAGCTCGCGCCTCTCATTCTTGTCCATCTTTCCTTCGTTATCTCCGTTGTAGATCCAGTGTACAACCGGGCCGTCATAACCAGGCTCTTCGGCGGTGTCTACACCCTTCTTCCAGCAGTAACTGAGAGCATCGTATGGTTCATCTGGTGAAGCAATGGATGAGATCTGATGGAGAGTAGTAGTACTGAGTGGGGGGGGGGGGGGGGGGGGGGGGTGGTCAAACTTGCCGGGGTGGGGGGCGAGATCGAGGATTCGAGTTTCGTGGGGAGAGGTCGAGAGGTCGATAGAGAGGTAGAAGCCAACAGCCCTTCAGGGCCGAGGTAAGAGAAAAGATCATCCGGGATGTGAAGGAGGAAATGTTTGAGGACGTAGCAAAGGAGTTGCTGAAGAGGATGGCGGGGGTCTTGGTGGAAGCGGTGGACGGGAGTGGGTGACTTGTACCCGGAAGCACTGCTTGTAGGAATCTTCGGAGTGGAGCGGGTGGAGGGGAGCTTTGTGCCGGGGCGATCACTACAAGGACGGAACGATACCCAACGCTTAATGATTAACGACGTTTTCCTTTTGTCAAGATGATGAGCTGACCCTGTTTGATGTCTCAACTCTTGTTTCCGAGTCGGCTGTGCTTGTTTGGCGCTGATCAGGAGTTCCTGACTGTTCTGGTGAGGCTTGGGTGGTCGTGCCATTGTGTATTGCTAAATTGCGCGGGGATACAGCGTCACCCATAAAGTTGCTTTGGTCATTGAGCGACAGAGAAGCTGATAGAGGTTGATTCGGCAACTGCATTGGAGGGAGTAACTGGGTGGAAACTGCCACCCCAGCCAATGTTGACGCCATGGTGGAAAGGGGTTGTATCAACCAAGTTGGAAGTCAATGAGTAATACCAGCCTTAACCAACCTGGTAGAAGGCCTGAGATTGTGGAGGAACAGCGATGCTTAATCGCTGGGGAGAAAGGGTGCGTAAGGGAAAAGTCTATGCCAAACGTAATCGAAGGGTGGGGAGGGAAAACGTCGTAGGAAGTAATGGACAGGCAAATTTAAGACGCATCTACGAACCTCGGCGATTGAGTGTTCTGGGGCACTTGTGTGACACAGCCTCGTCGTTATCTCACCTTCACTTTCCCTCAGCTGCGTCTCTGCCGTTCCGGTCCGAGCTCAACCGCGCACACCCCGTCGCAACGAGGCTCTCAGTACCACTCTCATACGGGGAAGTGGGGTGGGTGGTAAGCACGAAAGGCAGGCACAATTCTACTTCTAGCAGGTGCCTCTGGAGGTGACAGGACGGAGAGACAACAGTACGGTAGTACACCCCTAGCTTCCTTACTCCTACGCAGGCTGGTGGAAGGATCTGGACCGCAGTACGTAACGAGGATTTCTCTCAAGCCCTCAATCTCTTTTCTCCTCACACATCATCACGTCAAAATGCAAATTCCATTTTTTTTCTTCCCCGCTTCAATCCCTGGCAGTAGTCTGGTCAACGCGCCCAGAAATGATATTTGACTTGCCTGCCAAGTTCATGTCATACAGGTCATCATGTTTTCGTTACGTCTCTCTACTACATATGTTTCCTGGTCTCGATCATCTATCCGCGCTCTAATAAAAGACATGTCAAAGAGCAAGGTGTCCCTCCTCATGTCTGAACTCTCAGCTCTCATCACCACTCCGGGTTCCCCATTTTCTCCTGCCATTCATAAATACCAATGGCCTCAATTTCTGTCGATTCCTGCACAGTGTGACGAACCGTTACAAGCA